TTTTTTTTTTCCTGTTTCAGCTTGTTAGGCGCCTGGTTTCAATTATTTGTACATCTCTATCAACAATTATTATCAATTGCGGACGTGCCATGTTTCTAAACAAGAACGTTCGTTTATAAACAAGAACGACATTATCTGATTGATTTGATTTGATTTGATTTGATTTGCGTGCCTGGGAAATAGTTTGCATAAATTTGCGTCGCGTGCAAGGATTCCAAACTTCTCACACGCAATCTCCACTCCCCGGGGGAGGGGTACTCCCGATACTTCATGCGCACGAGGAAAACAGTAGTTTCCACTGAACAACATATACCTTTTTCGGGAAACAGGACAACCCATACCCTATTTCCGACCAAAATGTTTGAGTTCTATACCATATCTCTGACCGAAACGATTCGAAAACCTTATTCTTTCCAATAGGGCCGTATAAAGCTAACACGATTTTGCACGGCAGTCACCACCCTCCCCCCCCCCCCCCAATTCTCCTCCGAGCTCACGGCTCAGGCGTTTGAAGTCCTGTAATTGTTTTCAAGTGAAAACCTGCGTCTTTGTTTTCTAGGCACCGGAAAGTAACACTGCAATCCTAATAACACGCATAGTACTAAAGCTGATCGACTCGAATTCTCGTCATATGCCCATATTCTGTTGGCAGAAATGAACGTAAACTCGCTAACCATGTTAATTTGTTTGCACCGCCGTTTACACGTGGTTGAATACTCATCTTAGCCTGCGAACAGGAGAGCGAAACGATCGGGGCGGCACAGGCTATTTAATTTTTCTTTATGATAAGTGAAACTTCCATCATAACTCAGTTAAATAGTGCCAGCTTGAGATCCTACCACGTCACTGACCATGCGATGTTAACTTCCATTCCCACTGCTTACGCTCTTTGTCTTCTCCCTTCCCCTTTGAAGAAGTACGACTTCTTTTAATACCACACTATATTTACAATACTAATCTTACTTACAACATTGCAATTACTTACGAAAGCAACATTGCTCAGAGTACAACTAGCAGCACAAAATGCCGTATTTGGGTGCTATTTAAAAAAAATCAAATTAAGCAGCGTTGAAGCAGGCTTGATCGATAATTTCTTCTCCTATTTCATCCCCAGAATTTAATACATAGGGCCTTGTAGAATGTAAACGAGGTTTGTGGCAAAAAAAGGTATTCTTTTGATGGAGAACAATACTCTATGGTATGCGTAAAAACCTTTCCTAGCGTGTAAATTATAAAAGCAGTGAGTTTTAGTCTGTACAAAGAAAGGAATATGGGTGAGCTTTTCAAACGTATTGCCGCGAGAGTGACGAACTGGAAGCCTCCAGCACTAGCGGCCCAGCACCATGAAGCTCTTCGAAAACAGAGAGTTTGTATGCTCGTGTCCAAGAGGTACAACTAATAGCTTGAATAACGCGTTTCATTTATAGCGAAACGTTTTTGTAAGATCCACTGATGTGTATAAACAAGACTTTATTCCGACGCTGGAAATCAACTTAACGTGAAATATATAAATGACTAGTGTAACTATCTTTAAGTCTACGATGAAATTGGGTTTAAAAACGTCAACCGGGTCAGCAGTTTTTTGTCGAAGCTAGGGAATACAAAATAATGCATATATCTTCACGGCGTATAACATTTTCTAATTATCATAGAATAGTAATAGGACTGTGTGAAGTTTAATTCGGTCTGCAATTACACGAATTATTAACGACTGATTTGATTAATCAAGAGTATAATTACGGACAGAATTCAGACGCAAAACCCTTTTTAGAACTTTCAAAGTTTCTAATAACTACAAATTCTAACCGTATACAATGCCCTCAATTAAAAGTCTAAACGAGGCATAGGTTTTATTTTGAATTGTCTCCGCGCAAAACGCTCTCCAAATTTTCCATTTCCACTTCTTCGACGACGACAAGACCTGGCGTGGGGTGATGGGAGCTCCCTGCGCTTCCGGTTATGCCTACGAGGTGTGAACCTAAGATGTGAGGAGGGCTGGCATCCACTTTAACTTTGCGTTTCCACTTCCGGATCAGGACAACGAGGATTACAATCAGAAGGATGCAGAGAGCGAAGAAACCACCCATGGAAATTCCCATAATAATCATTGGTTTCTTGTACCAGCTTTTCGCGGGTGCAGAAACTGGAGGCCCATCAGTTTTCTCTCTGGTAGACACGCCTGTGGAGCTATTTTCGACTGGTGAGGAATTAAAAGATAGCGTTAATAAACCATTTATTGTTTCTCGTGCTCTAGTCTTTCCAAAAATTGATTCAAATGTTTTTTTTTGTTTTTTTTTTTTTTGCGATAACGCCCTCAACGGCAAAGCGATGCGTGGAATTTCCTTTTTAAAGGGAGGAAAAATAGAGCGCGGGGAAAAAAGAACGAATGTTTACTTTGTTAGGCTGGTCTTCGATTTGATGTGATTTGCAACCAAATTATCCTTGGGCAAGAAACTATCACATAGCAAACACAAAAACCGCCATGTTGATCGCTAAAATATGTGACAGGCTCCAAAAGGGGCTTAAATCAATAAGGCTAGGTTATTCTTTGATTTGGATGTCATTAGGATGTCCCAGTGCGTAGCTTTCCATCCAGTGTGGTCTATCATGTGACCGTTTGTAGCACAAAGCTCATTTAATTTGAACTTAAGTATCATGCTCTAAGGTTTTCAGTTGTTCACATGATTTATCTCAGATATTGCACTAACAGCTATTGATTAATTTTTCGGGCCGTATTCTATTACGCGGCCCGCTTGCGGCCTGTTTGACCTGAATGCTATTTTTTTTTCTTCCAGAACAAACTTCGCGTTTGCACTTCAAGGAGAAAACAAAAGATTTCTCATATTAGGAACAGGTATATGTGAATTAGCATGTACCTTTTTACCAACGTCACGCTTTTCCGAATCATTGTTTTATTTTTTATTCAGAAAAACAGTAAGCGTCACCGATCTATTTATCTTGTCGAATTTAGTAAATATGCGAAGTTTCATAAGAATCTTTTGCAAACTCATGGAAATATGGAATCCAAACTTGCCAGTTTTAACCAAGAGCTGTATGCCAGGGCGTAACGCTTGCCCCCTGGAATACATCTTGATGGATTTGCAACTGATTATTTTGAAACTGCGCATATTTACTAAATTCAGTATGAAAAATTGATCTCCGGAGGTAGTTTTTTATAGGAAAAATACGAGAAAAAATAAAAAGCGAAGGAACCACAATACCTTCAATGTTTTCTGTTGTTGAAATCTCACTTGGACCCACAGTAACTACTGACTTAACAAACACATTCACCGTCACGTCAGTTTGGCGGAAACACGATGGTTTGCCGAGATCACGAGCAACGATCAGCAGCCGATACTCTTTCACCTTTAGTTCGCCAACAATTGTTAGTTCACCATTTTCTTCCCCCATTTTAAAATCTCCGGAGTGGCTGCTTGCGTTCGATATGCTATACCTCACTTCTCCGTTGAGCCCGCTGTCTTGATCAGAAGCGGATATCACCGTCAGAAGTGTTCCCGGATGAGTATGCTGTGAGATGTTAAACCACTTTGTCTGGGAAGAGTCGAAAATCGGACAGTGATCATTTACATCAAGAACTTCAATGTAGATGAACACGAAGCTTGACTTCCGTGGTGTTCCATTGTCTGAAGCTACGATCTTCAACTTAAACAGGTACGGAGACGAACTCTCGTAATCCAAAGCCGATGAGGTGAAGACTTCACCCGAAATGCTATCGATTGTGAAAGATGGGCTCGCCACATTGCCGTTGTCTAACGAGAACAAAAGCTGTGCATTTCGTCCTGAGTCGGCATCGCTCGCTTGGACTTGGAGAATTTTCGTTGCGATGGGACTGTTTTCCAACAAGGTCGCATTGTACAGCGGAGCAGCAAAAACTGGAGCGTGAAGGTTTGGTTTAGCTGTTGTGTTACACGCTGCACCATCATATCCGGGATAACACTCACAAGTATTTGGTAAAATACAATCGCCTTTGCTAGAACAATGATTGAGACTGGAACAGTCGGCCGCACTGCATGCCGGACCATGCCATAAAGGATCGCAGGCGCAAGTGTCATAGCTAGTACAAACCCCATGACCTGGAAAGACAATAAGTATTTGGAGTTAATACTAGGCCAGGGGTAATTATTAAATAGTAGATTGAGTCGATCAAAGACGTCACAAGTTTTCCACATTCTTCCAAAGCTACTTCTTTTAAAACTATAAACTGTCGGTCTTAAATAAGTCATATAAAATCGACACAGCGGATTCAGAAGATTAGGTAAAGCTTCGCTTTAGACGATACCAACTCGATTTAATATTTTAAATGTTACTTACTTTTCTCGTCATCGTATTTTTTTCAAGACAAGATGTCTTCCTCACCTGAACAATAATTAACGCCTTCACAGGACGCATTTGAGCAGTCAGCCCCAGTGTACCCCACATCGCAGTTACAGAGGTCTGCTTCCAAGCACTGGCCATGTCCAGAACAATTGTTCACGGAAAGACACAAAGCAAGACTGCAGTTGACACCACTAAAGCCAGCATAACATCTGAAATTAAAATGTAACAAGTACAGTAGAAGAGATATTAAAAAATGGGAAGGACTGGATAGGAAATATTAGATAAGCGGACAGCATAGCAGAAAAAAGGAGCAGGGAAGAGAAGAGAAGTGAAGAGAAGAGAACAGAAGACAAGACAAGACAAGACAAGAAGAGAAAAGAGAAAACAAGAGAAGAGAAGAGAAGACAAAACAAGACAAGACAAGACAAGAAAAGAGAAGAGAAGAGAAGTGAAGGGAAGGGAAGGGAAAGAAAGAAAGAAAAGAGAAGAGACGAGAAGAGAAGAGAAGAGAAGAAGAGAAGAGAAGAGAAGGGAAGAGACGAGAAGAGAAGAGAAGAAAAGAGAAGACAAGACAGGAGAAGACAAGAGAAGGTAAGGGAAGGGAAGAGAAGAGAAGGAAAGGGAAGGGAAGGGAAGAGAAGAGAAGAGAAGGGAAGAGAAGGGAAGGGAAGGGAAGGGAAGAGAAGAGACGAGAAGAGAAGAGAAGAGAAGGGATGGGAAGGGAAGAGACGAGAAGAGACGAGAAGAGACGAGAAGAGACGAGAAGAGAAGAGAAGAGAAGGGAAGGGAAGAGAAGAGAAGAGAAGAGAAGAGAAGGGAAGGGAAGGGAAGGGAAAGAAAGAGAAGATAAGATAAGAGGTCAGGCATATACCTGCAAGTGAGATTGCCGCCTTCTTTGTCCTGCATACAAACTCCATTTCCACTACAGTTTCCAAGACTCGCACACCTTCCTTCTTCACTACAATTGACACCTTGGAATCCTGGGTAACAATTGCAAGTATTACTTGACACGCACTCGCCTTGACCAGAACATTGGTTCACGCCTGCGCAATCAGGGAGACCGCAGCTGGTTCCAGCCCAACCTGGGTCGCAGTCACATTTGTAGAACGCGACGCAGCGTCCATGACCTAGAAAAAGGTTTTGGCGTAAAAATTATGTCTGCAAGGTGTCTCGCACCTTATTTAACGACGGACTTATAGGAAAAGTTTGACAAAACAAAGTGAGTTGAGCACACTGCACACTCCTACCGGAGCAATGGTCGAGAGATCCACAAGAGAACTGGGTACAGTCTTTACCAGTCCACTCCTTATCACATTTGCACACGTCATAATCAATACAGATGCCTCGTCCAGAACAATCAGACACATTAGAGCAAGTTGGAATAATACTGCAATCACGACCTGAGGACAAAACAAAAATATGTTACTCTGAACAGTTTCCCTTAACTTACTTGACTTCAAACTTGTTTTTATTAGGCCAACTACACCCACGAACCAATCAATTTTGTACGCGGTGCATTGGCGTTAACCCTGTGGAAGCCAAACTTCTAAACTTCACTGAAACAAAAGCTTGACATAACTCACCAATGTATCCGTCATGACAGCGACATTGATCTGTCCTCTGACAAATCCCGTTGATAGGATTTGTGCAGTTGTTGATGTTGTAGCAGGTGGCTGAAATGCAGTGAAAAATGCGATTAATGGCCAATTCACTCTATGAGATACACCTGCAGGGAATCATGGTAGTTGTATTCATCATTTTGGACTGGATGGTTATTTTGATGAATACTACTACCATGATTCCCTGCAAGCACATCTCATAGAGGGAATTTTGTTAGGAAAAAGTAAAGGTAACGTCTGCATACGTCTGTAGCGCACTAACCATGAGGCCACCGGCGCTCCACAATTTTGTTAGTAATTTAGAATGAAAAGAAAGTCGTAGACGGCAACAGCACTGATAAAGGACCCAAGTTCCCACGTTTTGCTCTTAGCGCTTTCTGCGCCGTCAAAATTCTTGAGTTGTGTTTATTTTACCTTGACTCAGTGTCTTTCCTTCATACCAATACTCACCTTTCTGTTCACAAGTAGCGCCTTCCCAGCCGTCCTCGCATTCACAAAATCCTTTAACACATTTCCCATGTTCTGTTGAACAGGCTGTACAGTTCCCTTGGTAGAAGTAAAAAAATTTAACCAGACTTTTATTAAGTTTCGTCTAGCGGGACGTTTGACATGCTTGAATACAATGTTATTATTAAAAGGAGAAGATTCTGTTAGTCGCCAACTTTATTAAGAAACATTCTGAATTCCATATCGAAGTTAAGGTAAAATAATAAAATACAGACAATAAAAGTATAATTATGTTCGAAAATGAATCTTTTCTCGTAGAATTGCGGGACTTTTGAAAGATTTCACAAAAATTGAAGAATTTTGATATTTTTACAATAATATTTTAAATACTTGTTTAATAATGTCTCTTATGAAACGTTTTTCCAGCCTTCTGATTGATTGTGATACATACAATTACTAATGTTACCTACCGAATTCACAGCTGTCACCTGACCAACCAATCATGCACTGACAGGTGGAATTAACACATCTTCCCTTCCCAGAACACTGATCAGGGCAGCCTTCATCACAGAAATAAAAGAATGTGAATGCATCGGGAAAAAAGTAAATCGACATAATTATAAATGACACAGTCTCAGAGCATATGATTCGCTAATTATAAGCAATTATCTTGAAATCCTATGACTTTCGTGTTGTTGTTACTATTGTTGCTGTTGTTGTTGTGGCTGTTGCTGTTGTCGTAGTCTTCGTTGTTGTTGTCCTTGCTGATGTTGTTGTTCTACTGTTTCTACTCACCTTGCTGCAGAGTTTCCTGAGCACTCAGCGATGTGTCATTGGTGACAGCTACGTCATAAATACAGCTCTTCAGCATTGTGTCTGAGAGTCCAAGAGCAGAGCAGGCTGCAGTGGCTTTCTACAATGCAAACGAAAAGAAAGAAATATTCATTTGATAATTCGACTTGATATAAAACACGGCTCTCTTTACTCTGACTGCATTAGAGATTTAAATGTGAGCATAACGTTCTTGTCTAACAAGATCTTTTGCAGGTCCCCGCAAAAAGGTAATCCAAACCCGATTTTTGGCTGTTAAAGTTATCAGTAGAACAAACTTAGTACCTTGAGGATGACGTCGCTAATACCATCTAAAGAGTACATGGGAACATGGTTAGGATCGGTGTATGACGAGTCCATGACGTCATCATTGTGAAAGTTGGATGAATTCCACGACCATGTTCCTTTAAGGCCGGAATCATTATGGACAGCGGTTATACGCCCTGAAAGGTACAGAAGCAAGGGAAAGTGTTCCTTTAAAAAAAAAGTCCCAAATACGAAATATTTTACATATTTTATTTTTGGACTTGCAGTTGATGCATAATGTTAGTTTATACATGTATTGTCTAAACCAAGTTAACAGTAGCTGTTCTGGAAGGTTTAAACGCACATTCGTGTTTGGAAACCATCGGTCGACTTGCTCTTTGGGACGCGCCTTGTTCCAAAAACTTGACGTGTCTTTTGCCATGGGTTGTCCTGTCAAATAAATGCTAATTAATAATCTTAGACGCATTTACATTTAATAGCTGGTTTTCACATGACGTCACTAAAATTCGAACTACAAAACTATTGATCTTCCTGAGATTTTACTTAAATGATGTATACGAGCAGCTGAAAACTAATATTCATACAAATTTTCGCTCCGAATGGGTTTTTGGTTTTGTGATACACTATGCTTGAATTTCTAAGCTTTTGCGTGACGCGGCATTTACGTGACAGCCTAGAGAGCTGTCATGATGGTTAAAAACGTGTCTTATTTCGGGGAACTTGGCTATCTGAACAGTTCATGTCTTAGAAAAAGTATTATTTTAA